TTGTGTGGGGAGAAGGGTGCAACAATGAATGAATGGAATTCCAAAATCTCTGTAGATGTTCATTGAAATGAAAAATAAACAACCTAAATTAAAAAAAAAAAAAGGACCAAAGCTTCTCCAGCCCTGCACCATCCGTGCAGTGCCACGTTTCCACTCTGTTGTATCATATGCACTGGGCAAAGGTGCAGTGTCGTACATAGTGTGTACTACACTGAAGCCCATTTTACAAGGTGCCTACGTTCTCGTTACTGAACTGATGGAGTATAAAACGTGTGGCAAATATAGCTTGTGTCCTCACCAATTTCTACTTTGCAATAAGTATGGACACTCGATTTGGGGAATCAAGGCTGTGTGTGTGAAGTTAGAATTGTGGGCGCTCAGACACGCATCTACACATGGGCATATGTGTCTGTCCTTAGCAATGGACATGAAAATGGGACATACTGTACACCAGTTTTCAATAGTGTCACCTATCTTTAAATGAACGACGTTTTCCCTTATCTAAACTTGAGCTTGTGGTCAGTGTATTTCAGATTTTGGGTAAAAGTGCTCCTTAGAAACACAGGATGTAAAACATCTTCACGTGGGTGGGTTCTAGAGAGGTGGCACTCCTTCGAAAGCAGTCGAGTGCTTGGAAATGTAGAAGGGTCAATGAAAAAGACAGTCAATGAGGAATGAGACTCGTCAATGAGCCTCGTTCTGTCTTGGGATGCAAAAATGGGGAAGCTTTGCCTTGTGTGCTTTTGAGCATGTGGTTAGCAGAGACTATGCCTTAAAAATGGGCCTCTTTCTTGAATTATGGAGAGGAAGATCCTTTAGAGACCAAATAAAAAAAGGCCCAATGGTCTTCTCTCCAAAAACCAGCTAACGGAAACTACAACTAGCTCTGGGCTGCTTCACACTGGGTCACCGTGACCTAAGGTTGTCTTAGATTGGAATCGTTTTGGGAAAAAATGGACGGTCAGAGAAAGAAGACCCAAAGCCTCTGTAAATTTTCACTGAAATTAATAACAAATTTAAATTAAAAAAAATTAGGTTAGAGTAAGGATGGCAATGGAACCACCTTACCTCTGTAACTTGATTTGTGCCACTATTAGAACCTCTACTCAGAATAATATTGCTTTTCCATTTTTGACTCATGCACTTTTAACTTGTTAAATTTGTATCTTCTAGGCTGCAACACTTCCATGATACATCTTCAAGGATATGAACACGTACGGCCAAGCACAATCAATAAGAGTGCATCTAAATTCCAAAATCAATCTCCATAATAGTCTATGTGTTTCCTACTGCCAAAGGGGCCCTTTAGAGTAGTGAGAGAAGATCTTCACCCTGAAACCCACAGCGTCCCTTTTCAGCGGGAAGTAGCTAAGAGAATACGCCATCCCCTTTTCCTTATGAATCAGGGTGAAGTCTCTCTCGGGGAGGAGTGATAGGGAATGGCAAAGGAAACACTGACAAAGGAGATTCCTCAGAACTGGCTTTGACAAGCACTGTGGCATTTGGACAATTAAAACAGACATTCGGGGGCGGGGGAAGAAGAACGAACTGGGGATGAGGGTGGAGAAAACAGTGCAACAATGAATGAATGAAAACCCAAAATCTCTGTAAATGTTCATTAAAACTAATAAAATTTAATAATAATAATAAAAAAAGACCCTCAACAAGTTAAAGTGACACAGGGACTGTGCCAAGACAGAGCGTGAGGATGGCAGAAAGCAAGCAAGAGACATCACTGAGTTATCGTTTGCTTGATGGATGTAACAAAACAGCCTGGGGAGACTGCGTATTTATGACTTTGAGAACCACGGTCGAGTTCCCCAGTGTTGGGGTCATAGAATAACCACAAAGAGATAATTTTAAGAGACAGAAGTTTATTCTCCAACAAGTGGGACCCCCCACAGCACTTTCAAAGGGATGGTCCTTCCCAGAATTCACGGTCTATGTCTTCACCTTCCTGTGAGTTCAAGAGGTTTCCACCCTGAGTCATTCTCAAAGGACTCTGCTGCTGGGCTCGTGTTACAGATACAGGAACCAGCCCAGAGTGGACGTTCCAGAAGGTTCAGATCACCCATCTTCTTCTTTGAAGTGCAGCTGGTAGACCCACATGCCTTTAGGATTACAGCACAGCTTACTACGAGGTCAACACAGCTCGCTCTTTCTTGCCTACAGATGCCATAAAGCCAGCCTTTATCATCACAAGGGGAATGAAGAAGGTATCCTCCCCAGTTAGGTTCGTAGCATCAAGACTTTTATGTGCTCCTCCAGGAATTCCTCATCACGGATCACGTAAATCTGGCTATGGACACCTAACTCCTGCAGGAGAAGAGAAAGCCCATTGATAAAGCGGCTCTCAATCTCATAGTCATACACATCGTCGTCATCATCCTCAGCGTCGTCAGGCAAGGGAAGCACCATGAGCCTGGACTTGTCGGTCGGGATAGTGCGACGCAACAGTCTCTTCATGGTCGACACATCCACACAGTTTCCACAGAATCTAAACAGCCGGAGCTGCTCGCACTGGCTCAGGGCAGATAAGATGGCGACGAGGTGGGAGTTCAGGAGTCCACAGTGAGATAAGTCTAGGAGATCCAGGGTGGCCGAGATCTTGTAGATGACAGTTCGGAGCAACCCGACATTTATATTTGCCAAGTTGTTATGGGATAAATTCAGTACCTTTAGCTTGCTGGTGCAGGGATACGAGGATAGGGCTTGGAGGTCTGAGATCTCTAACGAGCAGGGAATGGAGGAAATGGTCAGGGACTCCAAGGGGGTCTCTAGATGCCTGAGAAACTGGCCGACGTTGCCACAGAGGTAGACATTACTCAGGCGGAGATGCTGGAGTTGGCGTAGGTGGGTGAGCTGGGAGGTCAATTCCGTGAAGATGCCGTCCAGCTCTTCGTCTGTGTTCCACCTGGCCAGGAGACGTCGTTGCCTAGAGGACCCCTGCTTCACGACAAGGGACTGGAGCAGCAGTGTACGCAGATGCACCAACCGGGGCAGGTAAGGAGCCAACATGGACAGGAGGCGTCTGTCTTCCGTGTGGTGGATTCTCAACTCCTCGACACGATCCAGCCGCACACTTCCGAGGATCTTCTCAATGACTGGAAACTCGGGTAGATCATCCGAAAAGGTCACCTTCTGACAGCAAAGCAGAGGGAGTACTTTTCCCTCCTGCACCCTGCACCTGAGGAAGGTGAGCAGTTCGTTTGACTGCATCATCTTGAAGCTCAGATCTCCCACGAGCTCCAACTCTCCCACTGGCTGCCTCGGAGCTGATCTGGAACGGCGCTCTCTCCTCGGCTTCCTAGGGCTTTGCATCTCTGCCGGGCGATTCTCGAAGTAACATCTGTGCTCTGGATCCAACTCCTCATGCACCCAGGTCTCTGGAGCTGGGGGCAACAGCACGGTGAGCTGGCCCGTGGCGCAGGGAGGCCGCTGGTCTAGCATGATACCGAGTCCCTTGAACACACTCGACAACATGCTCAGAGAAGAGCTCGCCTGCTCCATCATACTGTCCAGGTCCAGCCAGGACAAGGGGCAAGCGGCTACCATGGCTGCCACTATCACCTGAGAGTTACTCTGCATAGCTTCCGTAAAGAGGTCTTCCCATACAGTGCAAGGGATCGGCAGCAGAGGCCCTGTGACCGCAGACTCGTTCTTGACGAGGCTCTCCTTGGCCAGGTCGAAGAGACTGTGTGGCTGGAACATGGTTATGAGGCAAGTGGGCTGGCGTGGGTCCTAAGAGGGACAGAAGAGGAAAGGGAGTCCACTTTGAGAGACTGGTGATGGGGGGGGGGTGCCTTCGATAGTAGCGATTAGCCCCTACTTAGCCCTCAGGCCCGGGAGCTCCCCTACAATCTACTGAGCTGTGCTGTTGAATCAGAAGCTCCCCTTAGCGGACTTTCCAGCAAGCTCTCAAGGGGAGCAAATAAGGTTGGTCAAGCGTTCAACCTTTCTACATAGCAACCGGTGGATTTGAACCTCGAGCCTTCGGCGTTGAGGCAGTTTCTTGCCATTAGCGCACCAGAGCTCACTGGCCCGTTATTGACAATCTTGCCCAATGCTGCCTCATCCTTCCTGTCACGGTTTTCCCACTGTGCTGTCTTTTCCCACCTAGCAAGATGTAGGCTGAGGATGCTCCTTTAGCCTCAAACTAACAAGACATATTCCTATCTTTTTACATCCTATATACGATATGTATTATTTGTACTGGCAATAAACTATGCATTGCAGCTGTTCTACATCGTTGGGTCGATTTCACCCAAAGGGACCTGGGGACCATATGTATAACAACTCTGAACCCAATTTCATCCTCTCTGACACACCTATCCATTACTCCAGTCACTAAGTCAATCCTAGTTATCCAAGATCTTCCTGAACTGTCTCTCAAACCTCTCACACATGAGGTCCCTCTCCAAGGACTGACCCTCCTTGCCCAAATTATATCAGACAGACCTTCAAACTCCTTATATCCAAGGAGCAAGCCTTGTTTCACCCTCTCCAGGAAAACCTGTGTGTTCTCTTAACAGTCTGCGGTGTGTTCAATAGTCTTCTCCAGCACCATAGCTCAAAGGTCTTTTTCTATCTTAGTCATGGGCGTTATTTCAGAAGCAGATCACTTAATGCTCTAACCTCTCTCACTGAATGGATTCGAAGCTTCCTAGCTTTAAGAATGTCTTAATTGCATTACCCAGAGGACTCAGTGAAACTATGCACCATAGGGGTACAGCAATGGCTGATTCCCCCCAGTCCCCTTCTCAGAAACACGACACTAGAACTTTCTGCCAAGGTTCCTTGTTGTAAATTTGAACTTCCACCCTTCCTATCTGCATGTTAGCCCTCAGCAGAACCCCCCAGAGACAACCATGCCCTCAATCCTTTGCATCTCTAAAGCAGTTCATCTCATGTGCCAATCATACATCTGTGTCTGCAGGCAGACACCCACAGGGGAACTGGGATGACGGCCAAGTGCTACCTTTATACACAAAGCTGATGGCAGACCACAAGAATTAAAGCCATTTCCAAAGGACGAGACATTCACCTGCTAGACTCTTGTGAAACTATGTAAACAAACCTCCTCTTTCTGAGACATGCGAATCTCGCTCAGGGAGTATTGGGGGCTCAGTGAACACCACCATCCCATGCGCCTTTCCTACCTGTCTTGACAGAACTCTAATGTGTTTATACGACTCATTCCACAGAATTGCAATTATTTCACTATGGAAGTTGCAGCTGATGGGACGGACACGTAGCAGGAATCAGAAAAGAGGCAGGAATCAGACTGTGTGTTGCATTTGCTAGATTTCACCTCAGGAAGACTTGGGGCAAACAGTCTGGGGTGAGAAGAGTGAGGTATTGTTGGTGGACAACACAAATATGGATAGAAAGTCAGCACACACATCAGAGAGAAGCTCAGGAGTCATTCTAAAACATTTGTTTGACTTTCTGCTTTTGGCTTGGAGGAGGACTCGGTGCAACTTTCTTCGGTTGTCCCAGATCTGGGTTCATCCGACACCAGCCACCTCCGCCATGCCGCCCAAGTTCGACCCCAACAAGATTAAAGTCGTGTACCTGAGACCAGTGGGGAAGTTGGTGCCACTTGCGCTCTGGCCCCCAAGACCGGCCCCCTGGGTCTGTCTCCAAAAAAAGGTTGGTGATGACATTGCCAAGGCTACCAGTGACTGGAAGGGATGAAGGATTACAGTGAAACTGACCATTCAGGACAGGCCCAGACTGAAGTGGTGCCTTCTGCCTCTGCCCTGATCATCAAAGCCCTAAAGGAACCACCCAGAGACAGAAAGAAGCAGACAAATATTAAGCACAGTGGAAATAGCACTTTTGATGCGATTGTTGGCATTGCCCAGCAGATACAACACCGGTCTTTAGCCAGAGAACTCTCTGGAACTATTAAAGAGATCCTGGGAACTGCCCAATCTGTGGGCTGCAATGTTGATGGCCGTCACCCTCATGACATCACAGAAGACATCAACAGTGACGCTGTGGAATGCCCAGCTATGGAACTAAAGATGAAAATATTTCAATAAAGGATCATTTGTTAACCAATGAAAAAACAAACAACATTTGTTGAGTCCAGTTGGTTCTTCTGGTACAAAATAAAAGCAACAGAGGAATAGGGATGCCTCCATTTCCTCTGTATAACAGATTATATGTTGTTATGTGCCGTCAAGTCGCTTGCAAGTCATAGCAACCCTCTGCACAAGAGCCCTAAACGCTGCTCGATCCTGTGCCAACCTTGCCGTCTCCGACACACTCATATATAAAATTTATAAATGATAAAACACAGATAATTGCAACTGCATGATGATAACTATATACATTTCTAGAGTATACAAAATGTATGATTATAAATTATAAAATCTGTACTGTCTATCTGAGCTCTGGTTGGCCGAGTGTCTGTAATCCTGAAGGCAAGTGGTTCGAACTCACTAGCAGTCTCCTCTCATGACATTAACTGCCTGCAGGAGGGTCAGCTATGGGATGGTTATAAGATGATGATACCCAACATTTAAAGAGTATTTCGCTGCAGCGAGTTCTGGTGGCTTAGTGGTTAGGAAATGCACTGCCAAGACAAAGGTACTCAGTTCAAGTCCACCGGTTATCTATGGGAGCAAGATAAGCAATCTCATCCTGTGTCTCACTGAGTTGGAGGGTTACTTTGTGTCTGCTGTGTCTTGATGTACACAACGTGCAATTATGTTGCGCCTTGATGTACACAACGTGCAATTATGTTGCGTCTTGATGTACACAATGTGCAATTATGTTGTGTCTTGATGTACACAACGTGCAATTATGTTGCGCCTTGATGTACACAACGTGCAATTATGTTGTGTCTTGATGTGCACAGCCATGTGCAATTATTTTGTGCACATTTGCGTCCTATTGTACACCATCTCACCCCTGGGTCCCAAACATGTTTGGAAAGCAAACATTCTTCATCACATTTAATTGATAGGAAAGTTAAAGCACCAGTGACCCACCCTATTCATAATCATTTCTTGGGGGAAGTGTACCAGTCTCATCCATTTCCCTTCTCTCACTGTGACCCTGTCTGTCCTCCGTATGTCCCTCCTGATAGCCTGTCCAAAGTCTATCAAGTAAAATGTCACCATCCTTGCACCTCAGAAGAGATGCCTAGGTCTCTTCGAGGGCAGGTATCTCTGTTCTTTTGGAAAACTGGTAGATTCAGTCCTTGCCAACACGACAATTCAACCCACATCCATTCTCCTTCAGGCTCCCTCATTCACCGTCTCATGCTCACATACAGAGGTCATTAAAAAGACCATGGCTCACTTCACCAAGGAAGACATTCAGATGGCCAACAAGCACATGAAGAAATGTTCAAAATCCCTAGCCCTG